TGTGAGCCAACAAAAGTGAGATGGACACATAGCATGTTGCGACAACGACGCAAGTGATCAGCGACGTAGACCGAAAATACGTCCAGACAGCATGATAACCATGTATACCCACAACAGTTCCACTTCGTGGAAACAGGGTAGCCTGCATGCTCATATATCGAGATTAGCACGGGTTGGAATAGACGTAGTAGTAGTACTCACCACTGGAGCCGTTAAGTGAGTAGAGTAGAGAAGTCGCCGAGTAAACGAACCAAGTCGGAAGAGGAGGGCGTGTCTAAGAAATGTAAATAAAGTTGATTCTATCTTGCATGGGTATATAAGTGCAAATGCCAAAAACTCGCCATCCCCGTTTGTCGTATCATGTATCGTATAACCAGTGAGATCCCCGTTTACCGTCTCATGACCCATCATATCATGACCATGTTTCCCGAACAACTAAAACCATAAATGCAAAAAAGGTCTAACAATCATCCAATCATGATCTCAGGTCATACACAACATCTCCTCCCACCCAACCGTCCACCGCACACTCCCCATAACCACAACCAACAACCCCAGTCCCGCACCCACACTCGCACCCGCATAAAGATACGCACTCCTCCTCCTCTTCGCCGTATCAATCTCCACAATCCACGTGCTAACCGTAGTCAAACAGCCACAGAACCCGTCTTGAATGCCTTGTAGCACCGCACAACCGACGACGCTACCACCAACCAGGCCTGTACTGCTGAGAGGCACGTGTTGGAGGTCGTATGCCATACCGAGTACCGCAGTACCGAAGATATTGACGGTGAAGGTACCGAGTGGGAAGGACGGCGCGATGGGATTGAGGAAGAGGGAGATGTAGTAGCGGAGGAGACAGCCTGCGGGAGCGAAAACGCATGCGAAGAGGGCTTGGGAGCGCCAGGTTGAGTAGGGAGGCAGACACACCATGATGATTGCGCCGAACCATACGCCCCAGCCCAGGATAACGAAAATGGGATCGCAGACCCGGCGGGTGAATCGGAAGGGTAGGCTGGGTGTGATGCGGTCTAGGGCGAGAGCGAGATGTGCGCCGATGTGTAAGGCGCAGTAGCATGTTGCTATTGTTATTATGATGGTGGCGAGGATGGCCATGACGGAGTATCCGCCGTTTCGCGGGACTGTGGTGGTCACAGATGGTGTGGATGTACCTGCAGGATAGGGATGGTTGATTGGACTTTTCAAGTCATTCGACAACGCGAGGAAGATGTCGCGCATGAAACTCGAGAAGCTCGTGAAAGAGCCGCAAAACCCTGTTGCAAGACCAATATACATTGGTATGGTTTTCTTGATCTTCCCATGCCGCGCCTTGTGTTGCGAGTGTTCAATATCATTGGCGGGATAATCGGTTGGCTCAGGCAGTTTCTCTTCACCATCATTACTATTACTGCGACTCCCCCATTCGGCAGCGAAGAGACGGCGGTCTTCGGATAGGAAGCCCATGATGAATGTACCGGCGACATTGGCCCAGAGCTCAGAGAAAATGACTGGCGCGCCAGGGTAAAACGTCAGAGCCTGTAGACCCAGACGAGCTAGCGTGCCCCATATGGAGAAGAAGATGAGGTAGGAGATGGTGTACAGCTCCGTGGCACATCTCGATGCTTTTTGCTGCCCAGGGGTGCGCTTGGAGCGCAGGTAGTGCTCTGCGTCGGTGTGGTGATCGTCGTAGTGGTGGGTGTGGTCGTGCCCGTCTTCTTGAACGGGCGACATGCTGGGCAGGGCCGTAATGTCTAGCTGAGACCCTGATGCAGCACCGGGCGCTACTCGTCCGAGTGGAAAAGAGGGTCTTCTCGCTCGGTGTGGATGTGTTTGAGATGCCGGACTACCACCACCTGCATTCTCCCTCTGCGACGCCCTGCTCTGCGCGCGTGTTCTGGGTGTGCGCAATGGCGTGGGGAGATTGGGCGAATGCGCGTTGTCGTTGTAGAGATGGAGCCAGGAGTCTGCTCCTAGGAGGTCGTCGTCGTGCTTGCTCTCGCCGGCGCGTGAGGAAACTGTGCTGAGCGAGCGGTGCTTCCCGGCGTTTTTGTCCCACCGCTTCACGCTGCTGTACGAGTGATTCCGCTGTCGCGTATACGGCACATTGGGTGCGGGCGAGGCGGTCGAGGTAGGCGAGGGCAATGGCTCGCTATCCGCGTGCTCCGAATGGACTCTCTCGAGGTCGAGGTTGAAGTCGTGCAGGCGGCGCAGGTCGCTGCGGGTTCGAGATCGCGGTTCCGGGCGGTGCGCTGACTCTTCGGAGAGCGTGGAAGAACGCAGCGATGAGCGCTGATTGTTGAAATGCGACTCGCGCCTGGTGGGGACATCGTCGTCGTCGAGTGCAGCGTTGGCCATAGCTGCCGTCCTGGTCCCGTTTGTGCATGCAGCTTCGATGTGCAATGACGTGCGGGTCCCAACATGAGCAGTCACCCGTAACTTTGTAGTGTATAATCTCAGCTCACGACGCCGTGTGCAACTTGGAGTAACGCGCCATGCTGCTTTCTATGATGCCGGGACAAAAGTGGCGATGCCCGAGAATAAGGCAGCACACGTATATCAGCCCTCGTTCGCGTCTCTCCTCCCTCCTGCGCCAAATAAGAAAAGGTCAAATCTCAGTAACCTTTGCTTATGCAAACGATGGGACGAATGGCGCGCGCTTCCTTTTTCTCCGATTGGCAGGGGCTCCCCAGTCTAGCGGCACTGCACCTGCCGAGGCGTGACAAGGTTTCGTGTCACGGAGGCGCCCGACGCCATGGCATCTGTTATCGCCGGCATGTGGGGAGCTAGGCGTGACCACGCGCTTGTCTCATGCACCTTCTTGAATGGACAGTAGGTGTCAAGTTGAACACCGACTATATATTCCAGAATACCAAGACCTGCAATACTACTGTATCTTTTCTACGTAATTACACTGCGAATCCACCATGTCCGGCATCAACCTCCCCAAGAACGCCCACGTCTCATCACACCCATGTCTCCAGGCGAAGCTCTCACAGCTCCGATCCGCGAGCACAGGGTCCAAAGATGCGCAGAACCTGGTGCATGAACTCGCTCTCATGGTCGGCTATGAAGCTCTGGCCGCAGGCCTAAAGGCACAAGAGGCAGGCACCGTACGTTCACCCATTCCATCACGTTTACATTCACCCGGTCACATCAAGTCACAAAGTGGGGTGTAATGCACGACATATACTCATAGAAGGATTCCCATATCCCCAAATCACCCAGCCAACAACCATAGCAGCAATGCTATACCATACCATACCACCTGCTAACATGCCGTCTTCCAGGACAAATCCCCGCTCGGCTACGAATACACCACAACCACCACCTCCCCCTCACCGACCTCCATATCGCTCGTCCCCATCCTCCGCTCCGGCCTCTCCATGGTCCCCGCGCTCTCCTCCCTGCTCCCCATGCCCGTACCCGTCCACCACCTCGGTCTCTACCGCGAGAAGTCCACCTTACAACCCGTAGAATACTACAACAACCTGCCCTACCACACCCCGCACGCAGCTGGCTCGACCAAGCCCCAACCAGAGCTGGCGATTATTGTAGATCCCATCATCGCGACGGGTGCGACGGCGCAGGCGGCGATTGACACGCTGAAGGACTGGGGTGTGAAGCGGATTATCGTCGTTGCTATTTTGGCGACGGAAGAGGGACTGCAGAAGGCGTGCGGGGAGTGGGAGGAGGGCGTTGAGGTGTGGGTTGGTGGCTGTGATAAGGGGGTTGATGAGAAGGGCATGATTAAGCCCGGGCTGGGCGATATTGGCGACAGGCTGTTTTTGACGTTGGGGAAATAAGTAAATAAGGGGATACGAATCATGATTGAATGCGATATGGAGCATCTGCCAGCAATGCATGTGATGCCGTCGGCTGTCGTTCTTGTGTGTTCCCCCATCCTTGGTTCTCATTGGCTGACCCGACTTGGTACGAACCTAGGCTGCCAGACTGATCATCTCAGTCAGACACTTAGAATAGAGCAGGATACGGATCTTACTACAGGAACGACGTGATTGGAGAAGTCCTCCACGGGTGGCATGACGTGATGCCAAAATACTTCGATGTTTCCGGAAACTGGTGAGAAAGACGGGGGCGGAGTTCAACCTCATTCCAATAGAGAGGCACATACGAACGCCATTTTTGCAGCTGATAGGTAGTCTGTCACAGCCGATTCGTCGACGAACGCCTCGATAAGTCTTCCATGCAAGATGCCATCATGGCAAGGCTACATATCAGCCTTGTCCGCATGAGCTGAACCTGGAACATAGCACCCTCATGAGTTGTGCACAAGCTGATTATCGAGCTGAATATTCCCATAAAGCCATGCATTGCCCGGTACTGCCTGGCTCTGGAAACGAGTAGTCCTTTTTTTCTCGCTATGTCGAGGCTCAATGATGATACCGCACTCGTGGACGGAGTGACCGCGTCGAGCTCAGCCAGTCAGTCGAGAGTACTTTTCGATCAAACTCCCAGTCACTCACAGGCGTTGGTCACTTACCGGCCATCGAGTCAAGTTGATGGAGAAAGTGAGCATGTACATGCGTGGGATTTGGTACCCGGGCGTGACGGGGAAACTCAGTACGTATCAAGATCAGAGCCACTGCCTGGCAAACCAAGACCGTGGAGAATCCTGTGTCTGGGTAAAGTGAACTGATGGACACATCGTCGCATTTGGCTTACATACTCAGATGGCGGTGGCATCAAAGGTCTAGCCGAACTCCAGATTCTCAAACGCCTATTTCGGACCATCCAGCACAAAGCAGGTTTGCCTCCAGGGAAGCTTCCACTCCCTTGCGAGTACTTCGATATCATTTGCGGCACCTCGACAGGAGGGTAAGTAACTCGGAGAATATCAGCATCACTGCTAATCTCTACGTAGTCTTATAGCAATACTACTCGGCCGCTTGCGATTAAGTATTGATGACGCTATCAAGCACTTCAAGGCCCTATCGAAGGACATATTTCCTGAGAGGAAATCAACTATATGGTTCGCCAAAATGCCCTCTGTTGTTGGCAGGCTGTTAAAATTTGGTCAAGCCGCAGCTGGTAACGCTCAGTTCGATGGCAAGAAGATGGAAAAGATTTTTCGGAATTTTCTCGAGAAAGACCTCAGACTGGATCCTGAGATAGCGCTGCTTCAAGATAGCGCTTGCAAGACGTACGATAGTATTCTGTTGACTCGCAACCCTCGGATGCTAACGTATGATTACCTAGTTTCGTGTGCGCTACACGCAACGCGACTATCGGCAAGACGCTATTTCGAAGCTATGCTACAACAAATAGCATGCAGGATGGCTACGAGTTGAAGGTGTGGGAAGCAGCTCGTGCGACCAGTGCTGCACCACTGATCTTCGAGCCCTTTCACGTCGAACGCCACGGTATCACCGTGGTTGACGGTGCACTACGACTCAACAACCCCATTTATGAAGCCATGTCGGAGGCCAAACGTATCGATAGAAACCGCAACTTCGGATGTGTCGTCAGCATTGGCACTGGTGTCATGGACATTCACGGTATCGATGAGTCGAATGTTCTACTGCATCAAATCGCGCAAACCTGCGCCGAAATCTCCATCAACTGTGAAAATGTCGCGCAGGACTTCGCAGGTTCCGATGAGGGTATTGATCTACATAAGTCCAGCAGATATTTCAGGTTCGACGTTAAACGCCGAATGGATGCCGTCGACATGGTGGATTGGAGAAGGTTCGATGACATAACTGCCTACGTCGACGAGTACTTGAACAGGCAAGACGTTGGTGGTGAAATTGAGCGTTGCGTGAAAGCACTTAGTTAGTTAGCCTGAATTCATTTTCGTATATCGGGGCAAATACTGACTACTCTGGCTGTGCAGTCACGCCGAAGCTCATCAGGAGATCCACTTTACCCCTGCATGATCCAAATCCAGATTTTGAGCCCGACGTCACTTGCATAATGACAATTCAAGTATCTCTACAGGACAGATTCAAGATCTTCATCTGTGATTCTATCAATCTTGTTGGATTCGGGTCAGTGCTTTGTCGCTCTCTTTGTTTCGCATCCAGGATCCGTCTGGTAGAAAACGCCACTAACTTATACCAGAGCCCCACAGCTTGCATATCGAATCGGAAAAATAGATGAAGCGTTGCGCGATGTATTCTACATCAAGACTGATACAAGGGAACATGCAAGTCACGGTCTTGATCGTATAACCGAAGTTTTAGCCCCGGAAATGAACATGCCAACTCCATTCAAGGAGAAGCTAGAAGTCGTCGGGCATCTTCTCCAAGATCCTTCTTTACCTCCGGTCACCTTGATCGTTGATGGAGCGGGGCGAGACGACGCAGAGCCTATCATACCTGCACCGAACTTCACTGTGTCACCCGAGAGACGTCTGATCATGGTAGAAACATGCCCGAGAACGAGGGACGCAACGTATTTCGGGCCTGGGATGGATGTATCCTTTACCAAACATATGACATACGCATCCGGGACTCGGCCGCTGCTACGCTCGCATAAACCACTTGGATGGGGTGTCCACAGTACAGTCGATTCGGTCACTCTTGAAGAAGACACAGCACTATTGAAGGCTACTGTAGAGCTATTTGCTCGAAAAGTTGTCCGTATCAATGAGGTCTCGTCGAAGCCAGGGCACGCCATGAAGAACCATCTGTTAGTGGAGATTGAGATTCCCAAGCAGATCAAGCACCCACACATTGCTGAGATTCTTACATCCTACGAAGAGAGAGAGGGTTCCAGTCTTATCTTCGGATACCTGATGCGACCAGTCGCTCAATGCACCATGAGGAGTCTGGTGGACGTTGTTAGCGGGCGTAATCCTCCGTCAATGCAACCCCGGTGGTTTGTGTGCATAGCCAACGCTGTAAGCTACCTTCACGAAAAAGGTATTGCACATGGAGATATCAAACCTTCAAATATCTTGTACAAGGACGGCGAGATATATCTAGCTGACTTCAGAGTAACAAATGTGCGCGCTTCCCTGGAAACCAGCTGGCCCGCCTCTGCCTCTGACTCATACACTAGCATGTATGCTTCACCCGAATATGCTGCGTCTGGATCGACTGGATTTGACTTTGACCGCTACCAACATGAAGCCTTCTCGCTAGGGTGTGTCTACTTCGAAATGCTAAGCCGGTATTTCGAACGGCCGTGCCTCAAACTCTCCACCATCAAGAACTACTCCGCTCTGACGGTTCGGATGCATGGGCTGTTGACAGATATGAGCGCTCATATATCAGAACAGCGGTTGAGAGAGTACTTAAGGCAACCGCGTGAGACAGACATGCGCCTGCTAGACCCGATAATCAAGCTCACACAATCACTCATTTCGTATTATCCTGGATCACGTCCTACTATCACTAGTTTATACCAAAGCATATGTGCTTCCCCAGGGTGGCAAGAAGGAGAGGAGTTCCATTGTCCTTGTCAGAGTCGTCGCACGTGAGATCGGCAAGGTCAAATGGGCACTGATGCGCACATTCATGTTATGAATTCCGTAGAGGTCTGAATGATGTCGTGATCAAGTCAGGATCAAATAATGTACTCTCGAGGCCAGGCAGGTAGTCATCAGCGCCGTCTCATCCCCTATGTCTTTGGTCGTTCTCTTATAGCAATGAACCTGTCGCTCCAACCGCCGCTCCGTCCAGCCATTCGTTCCCGTGTACTGATGTATATCACGGATTCGACGAACATCTAAACAACGGTATGATCATGTCGGGATCAAGTGTTCTCCTCCCATGGCGCGCCAATCGGGTAGGGAGTGAAAAGGCTGCAGCTCCGGACTGTACCAACTAATGTGGTGCTTCTTTTACTTCTCTAGCCGACAATAGAGACCCATTTAATTCTGCTTCACAAGCTACCAAGTTCGATACGATAAACGGGGTGTAGGGCGCCTGAACATAATGGTATACGCCAAATCATGAGGCCTCAACTGATGTTCGTGCCAGCGCAAGTCCTGGTCCACGGAAGCATGGTATGTCAAACTTCGCGCGATGGCCCCTTCATCTTGCTCAGTCCCGAGGTCGAAGTCGCACTTGATGCAGCCTATTCCAGCGGAAATACGTTGGAGCACGTCTGGGAACTTCTCGTAGAAGTAACAAATACGGCGTCGCCTCGTGAACCATGCAAGCTGCCTAACTTCTGGGTCGTCTCTGGGCATATACGACAGGTCCATAGCATTTTGCCACGCGGCATCTCGTTGTATGACGTTGTCGAAAAGTTTGTGCGCAAGCCTGGGCAATGCGACTACGTCTCCGTCGGATACCAGAGTGAATGTGCCGATTGGCATACCCAGAGATTCCAAGGCATCAGCCTCGACCATCCAGGGTGTGAATGCTTTCGTCAGTGACCGAGCCTCTGGCCTTACAACAGGAAGCAACCAATCTCGCCATGAAGTGGCACGAGGGACATCTAGCCAGGTCCTCCGATTACGTTTAGCTTTCTGTGTGGCGTGCTGCATGCATACCCGTTCCTCATCACGCCAAGGATATGGGTGATGGAAAGCAGACGCAGTTTTCCAGATGCTAACACGTCGTTCGATGCGGAGCTTGGGCATGTCGATGCAGAAAGGTATGAAGCCTCGCATGTGGCACTCAGGATTTGCGATGGATTCTTGTTGCTCGATCAGACGAAGGCGTTTGATCTTCTTTCGCAGCACTTGGGGTGTGAAACTGAGGAATTGGACTGCGATGGCTGCAGCTGAGAATGGATATCGAGCGGTCTTCAAACGAATAGCGGTATCTTCAGTCGGCACGCCAGGGACAGACGCGGTTTTCATGAAGTCTGTGTTGGTGGGAATTGTCCAAAGTCTTGACTGTAGGTTGGTGAGATCCAACAGATTGCGAGCTGGTAGTTGGGCGCCTGATGGTATCCGCAAGATGTCCATCCATTCGATGTGGTCGTTCGCGAACTCGGGATGCTTTGCCAGCACGTTCAACGTTTGCTGAATGAAGTCGCGATAGATCGACGGAGCTTCTCCCCAGTCATGACCTTTGGAGAACCATGTCTCATCGCGGTTCGAGCGCCAGGCAGAGAGTATGGGCTGAAACTGGGGGTAGCATGCAGCTATTTCTTCCTCTCCGGCCTCCCTTAGAAATCTACGGGCCATTTCATCGACGACGTCCTCCTTGTATAGTAAGATGTGGCCTATGTCATCGACCCATTGATCGTCACTCTCGGGTGGCGTGTGCACGAAAGCAGCATGAAAAGTTAGAGTGACTTCGAATGCGCGACAAAGAAGCTCCTCTAAGATGGTATGACAAGTGAAGCCGAGGGACATGTCATTAGCTTCCTGGTTAGTGATAGTGAACTTGTGTGTCTTTGCGTCGTATGTCGAATCTGTATCCGGTAGGTAGAGCTCGTATACGATATCTCGAAGTTCTCGCGGTAAATCCATGAAGGATAGGTTGGGTCGTGCTAGCTCGGTAGAGGCATCCTGATCTGACGGTACAGTACGAGAGGGCAGGATACTGATGTTCTTGACGATGATCATGCGGGCCAGAGCTGAAGATTCTTCGAAGGCCATTGGGGTTTCGCCCGTATGTGGGACGTTGATAGTCCAGGTGAATGCTCGAAGCCTTTGAGGGAGCCCGGGGATTATACGATGAGAAGTGTTCCGAAGACACGTTGATCTAGTAACCGTGGCCGGAAGATGATCAGGTCGCAGCATGCAATGGTGTTATCATGGTTCGGTTGAGAGTGCTGCCTGGGAACACCCTCAACTCGTGACCATACTCTCAGCGTATCATTGCGGCTTCTTGTTTAGCTCAAAGTATAACTCCCAGTGGTTTTTACATCCAGGATTGAATGCGCTTCCGCATTGTGTGCATTTGCTTCCGCTGTTCATGTATTCGGTAACGGTCAGCACATGCTTGCACTTCCCGCAAAGCACTGCGCTCTCATCTCTGCGTGTGTAAGGCCAGATATCAGACCCATGAGACTCGCATGCATCGTGGCAACTGATACATGCATAGAACTTCTGGCAGCAGAAATGCTTGATGGCGATGATGTCAAGCGGGGAATGCCAATGAGAGCATTGCGTTAGCGGTGTGACGGACAAGCCGTGAACAGTCGGAGAGTCTTGCGTTTCGGATGACATTAGGGTACCGGCAGTGGTCGTGTGGTTGAATGCGGTGCTAAGGCCGTGCATATGAAGGATTTCGGCCGGGTGTGAGGCTGAAAGCTAAGAAGCGCTGCGGGATGATCAAGTGGGTGACCCCACTCTTTCGTCATCGCTTCATCCAGTCGGAAACACCAAGTAGAGTGATAGATACTGTAACCAGTATTTTTCTTCCCGACACATATAGATTTGAAGCATACATCGTTAGATGTAAATGCCGCAATGCAACGGCATGGCTTCCGTAGCTGCCTGGCATCGGGTTCCACAGGATGTATAATGAAACGTCGCGACACTTGCCAATTCGCCGAAGAGATTTCCTATTGGATCACCGTCCCCATTATTTTTCAGTAATGCTTCGCCCAAGCCCGAGTTTTGCCGGATGCTGTTACTGTACAGCACAGCTCAGAGGCCTCAGACGTCACTAGCCCCGCGTCACCCCACTAAGCTGTAAGAAGTGCGTGCTGCTCTTGCTCAACAACAACAACATTCCGTGCCTTCCTCATTCACAACACTCAATCACAATCCCACACCCTTATACCCTAACATAACATCTTTTCACGCAAACGCAACCAATCCAACCGCAAACATGGCTCGTCAATTCTTCGTCGGCGGCAACTACAAGATGTGGGTACTTTCACAAGCTGTGAGTGCTTGGAGATGATGAAGAGAAGCTGACAAGT